AATAATCTTGGTTTCAGCTCTGAACTATCAAGACTTATTAAGAAGTGATTAAACTTGCTATAGTTCAATTACTTCTTACGTGTTCATGAAATCTGGCCCCATGTATGCAATTAATAAACTTTTATAGTGAGAGAAGAGTGTTGATGATTGGAGGGCTTGATGGTGATAGCAAGTTATTGAATCTTGTTCAGGAATACGATATAAAAGATGGATTTATTAAACAACTTCCACAATTGTCCAAATCAAAGTAATTAATTTTATCTGTACATTGTTATTTAGAAGCTAGGATTGTATACATCCCTCCTAACCTTACCTAACCCCACAGTTCGGCAATCACTTTAGCAATTTGATAAATGTGACCGCAGCGCTCGACCCCTAGCCTGTCTTAGCTGCAAATTGTCCTAACTAATTTGAAAATTTTATAATGTGGCCGCAGCGCTTGGCCCAGACTTATACCAAACCTAACATCTGAAATAAAAAGTGTGTTCATCCGACCTATAAAAAGTGTTCGTGCGACCTACAAAACTGTGCATCCGACCTACAAAATGTGTACATTAGACCTACAAAAATTGTGCATGTGACCTACAAAATTGTGCATCTGACCTACAAAAGTTGTGCATCTGACCTACAAAAAGTGTGCATCCGTCCTACAAAAGTATGTGCATCTGACCTACAAATGTGTGTGAACCAGGAACAGTGACATCCTTATGATAGCACTGTCAACTACATACTGACAAGATCTGCAGTTCCTTCGCAAGTCGGATTAACAAAATAGAATGTACATCCGACCTACAGCTGTCGTAGGTCCGATGTTGCAATAGGTCTGAAGTATAGTAGGACGGAAGTATACTGTAGAACGGAAATGCTGTAGGACCGAAGGAACATTACCGAAACGAGTACTAATAAAAATACAAAACTATTTGATAAAAAATATTAATTGTGCTTAGTGAGGTTTTGCTGGTTTTTAGAACAAGATATTCCAATACAATTTTTTTTGTTTTCTCAATATCAGGCAATTCATATTTGTTGGTTTAGATATTCCATTGCCTGCACTCTGTACCAGGGTGAAGTTTGGGTATCTGGAGGTAAACCTGAAGATCCTAACGAAAATCTTCAAGATGTAGAAATATACAACATTGAAAATGCCTCTTGGAGACCTGGCCCTATTTTAACTAAAGCCAGATCTGCACACTCCATGCATGTTGTTAGCCATACCCTTTTTGTAGCTGGAGGGATGGGAGGGTGGACATCCTTGGAGACTCTCAATATCACCAAAGGAGTATGGACAGAAGAAGAAACTTTTTTTGCTGTTTCTCATCTTGATCACACATCTGTGGTTGTACCTTGCATGTAGTGGCATGTTTGTAATGTTAATATTGAAATAACTTGTTGATTCTTAATGATTCTTTTTATAAAAGATAAATTTGATTAGAACTTTTTAACTGCTACTTAATTGTTGGTATTTTTGAAAAGTAAGGAAGAAGAAAAACATGAAAAAGGTAAAATAAATATTTCCATTAAGGCACATTGGGACTTAAAAAGTCACCATATTGGCTGTCAACAATGTGAGGGTTAAAGAACCTTAGCTACGGTTTTATTAAATAAATGAAAATTATAATACACTTGAGCATTATAAAAATAGATTTGAAAAAAGGTTTATGAAACTATTGTGCTCTTTATACTAAATTTCAATATAGCATGGCTATAAAGTAATCATTGTGCTTTGTTAAATTAGTTGTATATTATAGCACAGTGCTATAAAGTTTGATTCTGTGTTTAAATTCCATCAATGCTAAAAACTCCTCATCACTCATCAAGGCTTCAATCTTAGCTTTGTCTGCATTACTCACCAACCTTACCATATAAACCAGATCTTCTGTATTATACATCAGATCTTTCTCTTCATCACTCATCTTCCACTCTATTCAGCAAATCTAGATATCTTGTTTCTCTTTGTGTCTCGACTTTTCTTTCATCATCCCTCCAATTATTATTCTTTAGACTCAGGATCTTGTTAGCTATCAATGTCAACACGGACACTAGCAGTTACTCTACCAACACAACTACCACTGGGTGCGATCTCTTTAGCCAGTGATGTCAATATGGACACTAGCAATTGTTCTATCAAGGCCACTACCACTAGGCATGATCTCGTTAGATATTGATGTCAACACGGACACTAGCAATAAGTTGATCAATGCTAGTACTACAAACACAATCTCATGAGCTATTAACACAATCTCATGAGCTATAGATGTCAATCAGACACTAGCTCATAATCTATTAAGGCTAAACCAATGGGCGCAAATTTCAGCTTGTCTGTTTCAAGAAGAACATAAACACTCTTTTGGCAGCCAAATCGGAGTGTCTAATGCAAGTAAGTTTATTTCTACAGCTTAAATTAAAATTGGGTCTTAACAGAGTAATTACAAGTTAGGTGCTGTTATATATAATGTAGTTAAGCAATTACATTATTGGTATGATGGAGTTAAATATATATCTACGTATTTAATTGGGCTAATTGGAGTTCATGATTTACATATTTACTAATGGGCACATTCAGCTATTTGGACAATGTACAATGTAATTTACCATGGGCCTCTATATTTGCTATACTAATTTTAATACTGAAGCAATTTGTTAAAAAGATAATATTTTTACTAGTAACTTAGCACAGCACAATCCAAGTGAAAAGGGTCTATTTACACTGTACAATTGCTATGGTTATGCTTAAAAGTCGTCTTCCTATTTCAGATTTTTCTGGTTATCACTGTAAAAATTCAGTAAACACGTAATAATAAGGATTAAATTACTGGAACTGACCTGAATAAGTCTACAGAGTATAGAAAAAATGTATTTACACCATGAAAAAGAATAAATAACGTTTGATACTAATGGTTAAAATAAAGCCGGAGTTCTCTTGCAGACCTTCCGCCTTTCTTCCGACTTGTACAACAGGTTTCTATTGCGAAAGTTTGGTGTTGCATGGCTTTATATTAATCTACCAGAGGTTGTAATCTGGCAGTACATTCATCCATCCATGCGTCATTCATCCTGAGAAGAGGGTTGACAAGATTCCAGCTGCTACTTAGACCTAAGAATAATAGAGTGCAGGAATTCTTCTGATACACTGGAATGAGGCCCGGGTGCCATACAGACAGGAAACAGCACACTCATTGCTCCCAATCTTTTGTAAGCCCAGATTGGATACCCCCAGGTACCTATAGCCGGCAACCATAGACTTTCCCTGCCTATCCATCTTTCCCCTCTTCATCATCATTCACTTGGATCAATCCACTTAAAGCTTCTTTCTTGTTGAGTAGGAAGAACGCACCCTTTCGTTGCGAGAGATGTTGACAGCCGCCCCCCTGTCCTCCTAAATCCATCAGGTGGTCATAACTGCTTCATCAGATGTCAGCTTCAGATGTTTTCGAAACCACAGGTTTGTGTGGAACACAGGAATTGAACCCGTGAACACCAGCCTGGACATTAATCCAGTTACTGGCTGTGGACAAGTGTGCTTAACATTAGTGATCTAACGAGAACTGGTGTCACACACTCTCCACCCCACACCACAAAAAAAGAATATATAATCACCTTTGATTAGATATGTAAAAATGTTAAAAATGCTAAATGTTCCATATTGTTTATTATGGAAAATTTGATTTAATTGGTAAACAATTTCCATTCCTATTTAAATTATGAATAGGACAGTGACATATAAATTTCTTATATATTTCTTTATTACCGATACGATACTTATGCTTAATCGATCTCAATAAAAATGTTTCATTTTTCATATTGAAATATCGAAATGTGGTAATAAATAAGAAATTGGAAATTTGCTGCTTTTTGTTCAATTTTTAGAGGGGAGGGGGCCAGGGGGGGATCCAGTTTTTTTTGCAAATATGGCCCCCCCCCCCCTGAGATATTGGTTTATTCCGCACCTGACCACAAGGCCAATTAGTGTTGTGTTTTTCTTTTTCCTCTCCTTTCCTTCCCTTTCCTTTGTTTTCCTTTCTTTAATTCCCTTTCCTTTCTCCCATTCCTTTCTTTACTTTTTCTTTTGTTCCCTTTAATTTGTTCTACTTGCTGTTTGTCCGTTTCCTTTTTTCCCTTTTCCTTTGTTTCTCTTTGCTTTATTGTCTTTGCCTTTGTTTCCTTTCCTTTCTTTCAGATTCCTATCTTTCTCTTTCCAACCTTTCTTTTATTTTTTTCCCTTTTCGTTTCCTTTCCTTTCTTTCCCTTTCCTTTCTTTTCCTTTCTTTTCCTTTCTTTTCCTTTCTTTTCCTTTCTTTTCCTTTCTTTTCCTTTCTTTCCCTTTCTTTTCCTTTCTTTAATCCTTTCTTTTCCTTTCTTTTCTTTTCTTATCTTTTCCTTTCTTTTCCCTTCCATTCTTTTTTCCCCTTTCTTTTCCTTTCTAAACTAATTTCTTTATTTTTCCTTTTTTCCTTTTCTTTGTTTCCTTTCCTTTAATTTCCTTTTTTCCATTTCCTTTCGTTCCCATTCGCTTTCTTCCAATTATCTCGTATTTCCTATATTATGTGCCTTTTCGAACCCTCATCCTTCCATCCCCTGTTATTGTATACATAAACTTGCGTAGACCAACACATACACGCATACTCACGCAAATACACGCAGCTGTACACGCCTGTACGCTTCAAAATAGGGCAGTTCAAAATAAAACCATGAAAATATATATTACATTACGCAGCATTGTCGTTTTTTACAATGTAAGTGAGAAAAATAGAATTTATTTACCTTAATAAAACATTGTTTTTATACCTAAGTTGGATGACCCTATAAAACTTGTGAACTCTTGAACTACTCTAGTTAAAATATATTTTTCTGATCAAAATATTAATTTTAAAAGTACTTTGTTTATTTTATTTTTATATTTTTTCCCATTTTTTGTGGAGTTTATTTACCCCGGTCTAGGTAGATATATGCTGTACTGTACCTGCAGATAGATAGATAGATAAACAGGCAGTGATGAAGGCAGAGATGAAATTTAGACAGTTTGTGCTGAGCTCTCATTGCGGTGACACCGCACGTGCATGCATAAACCTAACGTTTGGTGCGCGCTTAGTGAATATGAGTTTCTAGTGATGTTTTCAATTAACTTAAAAGTGTGAGTGAGAAAGAGTGAGTGAATGAGTAAGTAATTTATCGAAAAAAGTTTTTTTAAAAAATAATTTCGACATTTGTTTTACAAATGAAAGGGAAAAAAATTCTTTTCGTAATTGTTTTGTTTTTGTTTACAGAAGTATAAAAATCAAAAAGTTATTCAGGGCTTTTTTTCGGAGAACACATATTTACCAATTCCACCTCCCACCTACCCTTGTGTTGCTATGTGTTGTAAACTTCAGATGTTATACACTTTTCGCTAAATTTATGCTTTTCATGACTTTTCTGCACTTTTTACATCCCAATGGGGCCGAGGGGGGGGGGGGGCAATATATTTCAAGAATATCTACTCTTGGTTTTGACGATTTTTTTAACATAGAAATATTCGAAAAAGTTAAAAGAATTTTTTTTTAGGATTTTTGTTTTTTGAAAAAATAAATCTAATATTAAGAAATTTTGAAAAAATAACCTAGGGTTTTCTGTAAATTTCTCACATAATGCCCTGAAAACTATTTCACTTTAGCACGGGGGGAGGGGGGAGTTTTAACAATTTTAACACTGTGTTCATTAAGTAAGAACTGCTAAGTAAAAATATAAAATGCTGGAATCTTTTCCAAAAGTAGGTCGTTCGATGATTTTAATATTGTTTCTTGGTCTTTTGACGATCTATCTATCTATCTATTTATCTAACTATTTGCAAATTACTTTCCTTTCTTTAACCTTATAAATCCTTGTATATCAAATGCACAAAAATCCACGAAATGAGGATTAACCTCACGATTTCATGCTGTTTCAGACATAAACGTATATTAGGAGAATGAAATATTTAGCAGGAAAAATTATTGGAAATAAATAAATTTTATTGTTTAAATCAACGAAAAAAGAGTTTATTAACGTTTAATATTTCCAGCATGGTTTAAAATAAAAGCTAACGTTTAGGTTAATATGTTTAAAGAACATCAAAAGGTAAGTTTTTAAACCCTTGCAGTGGCGAACTAGAGGGGGGCTTCGGCCCACACAGGCTTCCCTCCATAAGGAAATTCATGATATGAGTTTAAAGCATGAAAGGGATGAAAGATAGAACGAAAATAGTATTGAATAAATGACCTGAACGGAAATACCTTTTAAATTGTTTTCTCATACAGTGAAAACCAGAAAACAATGGAATAGAAAGACGACATTATAGCAATAATTAAGCGTTTTCATGTTGTTTCAAAGCAAATATTTTTACTAGTAACTTTGCAAAGCACAACTTAAGTGAAAAGGGTCTATTTACACTGTACAATTACTTTGTTTAATGTTAATTCAACTAGTTTAAGCCCAACTTGTGTTAAAAAGTCGTCTTCCAATTTCGGAGATTTCTGGTTAGCACTGTAAATATTCATTAAACACGTAATAAAAAGGATTTATTGAATTATTAGTAAACGCTCAAAAGAATAGATAATCACTAACATTATTTGATTAGATATGTAAAAATGTTAAAAATGCTCAATGTTCCATATTGTTTATTATGGAAAATTCGATTTAATTGGTAAACAGTTTCCTATTCAAATTATGCTTAATCGATCTCAATAAAATGTTTAATTTTTTATATTTAAATCTCGAAATGTGATAATAAATAAGAAATTTGAAACTTACTGATTTTTGTTCAATTTATAGTGGTGGGGGGGGGGTCCCAACATTTTTTTTGCGCGCTTCGCGCTGTAGTCAATTGACTGTAGTTGTTAATTTATCAAAAATGTAACATTAGCCTGAAATTTTAAAACCAAAGAACTTTAAAAATGTCCTGTCTATAAAATGTCCTGTCTATAAAATGTCCTGTCTATAAAATGTCCTGTCTAAAAAATGTCCTGTCTATGAAATGTCATGTCTATAAACTGTCCTGTCTTGAAAAATGTCCTACCGATAAAATTTCTCATCGAATATATAAATGTATATGTCTTATTTAAAATTTGTTGAATTTTTTATTTGATTTTATCTGTTACCAAACTCTTTTGACTCTTTTTTCTTTTTAACAAGTTTTTTGAAACTTTGAATAATTTGATCTCTTTTCCAAACCAAATATTACATCAATTTTGTATGCAAAAGAAAATGGCCGACAAAGCTCAATATTTACTATTCAGGGAATAAAGAAATATTTTTAAAGATATTCTTTGATAAAGCTGATACTGCATATTATAGAAATAGATACATTTGAATTGCATTACAATTCTATAAATATATTTGATGCAGATAAGAATTGATTCAAGTTACAACGTACTTTTGAACTAAATTCCGGGAATCTAAATGATTATCAAAAATCTTTATTGTAATCTAATTTTCTTATTATCACATTCTTTTCTGAGTTTTTCTTGATATTTTGAACTAAGGAATTGAGTTTTTGTCACAAACTCTGATTTTCTTATCCCTATCTTTGCATTTTAATGCCGGAGACATTAGATATTTTAAACTAGCAATCATTCTAGATCAAATTATGGTATTTTGAAATATCAAAGGTTTACACCATCAGGTTAAAAAGATATAGCTTTTTAAAATCAGAATTTGTGGCAAAAACTCAGTTTCTTTGTCCGAGAGAAAATTGAAATTATAGACGGAAGTGAGCAATGTTTATTTTTGTTCTCAAAGTGAGGAAAAGTATTTAAAGTAGGGATGTTATGATTTTAAATATCCCCCTGCACCCTTCTACGCGGATTATAAAGTTTACTGCAGTGCATATAAAGAAATAAATACCTGTTTAAAGCCTCTTATTTCCTATTTTCCTGTTTTTTTGCAATTCTTTAATATGATCTTTTCACTTGTTTTTTGAACATTTTCAATCCTATTTTTAAGTTTTAAACATGCTTGAATCCAAAATTGTGACAAAATGGTGTTAATAGATCAGTGGCCGAATTTAAAGAATTTGAACGGCGGTTTAAATTCAAGCCGCCGTTTAAATATGGTTGGTTCCACTTAAAATTGTATCAAATGTTTCAAAATTTAAACCGGCGCTTAATTTAAACCGGGTTTTGGCGGATTTAAACCGCGGCTCAAATTCTTTAAACTCCATCTCTGGTTATCTCAAATCACAGCTAAATTAGCGACAGCTGATAAATGTAGCTATTTATAGCTTTTATGTAAAGCTGTTTTGTCTCCCATAAGAGCTGAAAATCCACTAAATTAGCCACAGAACAGTCGAATCAGATTCAACTATATTTTAGTAGATGGTTGCAGTTTAGATGTTACAGCTGATTTATCTCAACTACGCCACGAAACAGCTACAGTCATAACCAGGAAACTGTGGAATAGGAAGACGACATTATATCATTTATGAAGCGCATTTGATGTTGCTTAAAGCAAAAAGCTTTACTTGAAAGTTATTAAATTACTTATTAAGTAAAATGGGTCTGTTAACATTGCCCAATTGCTGTGCCTCATGCTTAATAAGCTATTAAAATCATAAATTGAGTTTTAAAGTCGACTTCCTATTCCAGAGTTTTATGGTTATCACTGTATAATAAACAGCTGGTTTCTGAATGAATGATAAACCAAGTTATTTGACCAAAGCTAGTTGCCAGAGGCCACTTTCAGTGGTATAAAAACTCTCTCTATTCTTAATCAACCCTTAAAACCCATTTTTATAAACAATGTCAAAATTTGTCAACATTTTTCTAGTTGGATACCTTTAGGGTTTGTTCTAAATTAGTGCATATATAAATCCTTTTAATGTTTTGTACGTCAAGGGTACTCGTAATTATAAGGATTTAATGGGGGCTCATTAGTGGAGATGATCTTTAGAGGTTGTTATATTAGGTACATGAGGGGGGTGTATTGGACCCTTTAAATTACGTAGATAGTCCCTTTAAATGACGTAGCTAGTCCCTTTAAATTACGTAGATAGTCCCTTTAAATTAAGTTGATAGTCCCTTTAAATGACATAGATAGTCCCTTTAAGCTAAAAACTCTCTAAACACAATATCTAACATGTTTAGATGACAGAGACTATTATGGAAATTTTCACACATTGTATACTTTAAGTCCTTTATTGCCTTAAAAAGTATACAAACTTGTGTGTGTATATACTTTATACATACAGGGTTACTCAAAGTGAATGAGACTTCAGAGACGACTTAACGGAAATTACGCTGTCTCTTTTCTTTATTTTCATGGTTGTAAGTTCTCTGCAACTGTTCATGGCTCAATTTCAATATTCAAGACATAAGCCATACTTAAACCTTGGGGTCGTCATATTTTAAGAGCTTTAGGTCGTCTTTACAGTCTCATCCTTTGTGAGTATCCCTGTTTTTGTACAAACTTTAAACGAATAGATAAAAAATTCCAAACTTTAGGCATATTCCACTTTGATGAAGATAGTGGAAATATCCTAAAAATTCTTAAATTCAGGACATAAACAGAAATGGAAAAATTTCACTTGTCACAGAATTTAATTTTTGGCCTTTAAATGATAACAAAAGGAATTAAAAATTTTACTTTTACTTCACACAAATTCCCAAAACTAGTGGACACCGGATTTTTGGTTAAATTGAACCGAACAGATGTCGGATAAAATCTTAAACAGTTGTTCGCATTTTTAAAATACTTAAAAGTACTTGTTC